TGGGCGCGTGGACAATAGTAGGCACCGTCCTTAAAGGGAAATTCTGAACTTCAATCATTATTTTAGGGTTTTATATACACTCACCACTTAAATATTCTAATATGAGATATAATTTACCACCAGTCTGGAATGCATAGATCAGGTCCACTATAAATGGATGCTGTAAAGCAAAAATTAATAAGATAAATATTATTGATAACTACAATATTGTGAATAATAAGCATGTCCCTCTCATACATTTTGCCCATCTTATGTTTGTGATTTGTAGAGAGATGTGTGTTCCTTGATTTTGAAAAACATGGTTAGATTACAGTGTAAGTACATGTTTACACTTGATGCCTGTGCTGATAGCAGAGGTAGATCCAAGATTTTTAAAAGAGGATTGACTATTACAGGGTACCTTGTACTCTTCAGCACCCCACTTCAACCCCAATATGGTTCCACCACTATATGTGGTGATTTACTGTTTATTGTTTTTTAGTAATCAAGGACTTTTCTTAGAGTCTCATTTATGAAGGGATCTTCAAGTACTGAACATGAATAGCAAAGTCCAGATGTTTTCAAGTAGTTTAAGGAGCGGTGGATCCTTAGACAAGATTGCATGTCAGAAACCTRTTCCCAAGGCCAAAAGCAGTTCTCCAGATTATATTTTGCTCATAATTTTCATTTTTTTTAAAGAGACAATTAATACCTTTACTTCCTCCAGTATATTTCGCTCAGCTTTTGTATGAGCTGTGTCTTTCTGACTTCTAATAATTGCAGCCTAGTAGTTAAAGAAACACAATGATGTTAACAATAAGTATTTCTTATGATCATTAGATCTCTTCACTGCAGTAGCAATGTATATTTAAGACCATGTGTCACGCCTTTTCTTTCTTACAGTATATATATCTGAATCACTTACATACAAGAATCAAAGTTCTGTTATACTGTACCAGTCTGACAAATGTTTTGGGGTCTAGATTGGAGAGCTATCACTGGAYATATTTGGTCAGAAGTAAACATGCTTGATTTTCATTCAATTCAGAAAATGTCTAGKCACTTTTTCATGCAGATTTTTGGTATTCTTAAGCAAGTTAAGAAATGTTTTTGTCGGAAAGATTCAAATGACGAATACCTTGGACGTGATCTGATTTTTGAAGAAGTTTTGTCTTAAAAAAGATTGAGTTTAATGACTCATTTACACTGTGTTRTGCAGATTTCATGAGAATGGTGTGGAATTTATTGTCCATTTTAGATTTTGGCAATGTAGATGATTGGTTCAGCACTTTCAATATGCCTATCAACGTCACAGAAAGTCAGGAACTTGAAACAATGGTATTTTCATGAAGAAATAGAAAATGCACGTGCGTGCTGTGTGCTGTCATAAAGCATGCRGGRGTTGGCAGAACACGAGAGAAGTGTTAAGAGAAGCACGACGCGTAGCGGAGTGTTTCTGGACACTTCTCGAGTGCACACAGCACAGCAAGCAAGTTTATTTCTTTTATAAAATACAAATTACAATAATAGAAAGGAATGGACCAACGGAAAGTGCATGCGCRTGCAATGTGCTCTCATAAAGCACACGCTCCAAACCAATCAGAACGCGACATTCATAACAGTTATTTTATAATATAGTATAGTATAATTATAATAACATAAATATATAAAATAAATAGCATATAGTAATATAGATGTATAAAATTCTAAGTAAAAGCTAATTTAAAAAGGTATGTCTTTGATTTGAATTTCCCAATACACAGTTCATTTCTGATTTCAACAGGAAGAGCGTTCCACAGTTTAGGGGCAGCAGATTGAAAAGCCCTGTCACCTAAAGTTTTTTTTTACATTTCCCACTAGCTGGATTCACATGAAGCAGCTAGAGTGCCCTTATGATTCTGGAGGTCATACCTAGAAACATTACTTACTGAAACCAAATTAGACAAATATTGTGGTGCTAGCCCACGTAAACAAAATGTTAACAGTAATATCTTATCAAAGGCCCTTAGGCGAACTCGTGGATACTTGTTGCACTTTTGGAAGATTGGTCTTCCTGTGCCCTCTTTAAGCTTTTTGACATTCTTAAACGGATTCCAAATATTTCGCTCGATTTAATATTTTGAATGCTCAATTTACCTAGTAAGATGAGTAATCGTCCTTATTATTTTCCTTTTAGCTTCTAGTTCTTCGCTAGTTTGTTGAGTTTGGAATTGAAAATTGTCTGAACTTCAATTAATACGAAAGACGACTTCGACTACGACTTCGCAATAGAGTCAACTGAGTCAAGTATAGAGTACAATTGGAAGAAGATCTATTTGAAAACGCTTTCTCTGTTTTCAGTTTCAAAGCGGGCTGTGTGTTTTATTYCAGGAATCATTCGACCTACGAGCTCAAAACTGAATATACAAGATAAYCGACCGTTTATGATACAATCGGGACGATCAACATAAAGCATTGCGTTATGCGTGTTRATTTACATTACTGTTTATCTTGACCTTCAGGGGTCACGGCTCCTACTTCAAATGAAACTATTTATTTACACTGTGAACTAAGCAAATATTTTATAGAAATACATTTAGAAATGMTATTTATTTCGTCTTCATCCAAGTCGGTAAATTAATGATTATTTATTGGAGCGAATTCTCGTTAGACCTTTGCACATTTCAACATACAATCTGAGCATTGCTTCGGCTGTTTGTAATCTTGTAATGCGTGGCGATCAATCTACTTTTTATTCAGAACGGCTTATTTAAATGACAAAACTGGCCGAACTTCCTTCAAAACTCCATTGGAATTGTTCTTTTTTTCATCTTTTACTATTTTTCTACTATCTACGAACATCTACATTGATTATTTTCTTAAGAAGTCACTTAGTAAATACAGCTGTTGATCAGTAATATTAAAACTTCGCTCGATCGAGTTTGTGAGATTTTATTCCTGAATACCGCCGTGACTTTGAGCTGTCTGTATGGAGAATAAAGTCCTCCAGAGCGTGAAATCAGCCTCTCTTGAGTTCTTATTAAAATAGCTTTTTTCGATGACCGGCTCGATCTACGAGTCTTCTGAAAAATCACGTTGTACCTAATAAGCGTGTTTGTTTACTTTTTAAAATACATAAG